CCAGAGCCAAGTGCTCATTTTGTGGTCTCCAATCATCAAGTAATGAACTCAAGGAAAAAAAATATTACACAGGTAGATGAAACTTACTTTGTATGGTATGGTATGAATCACCAAACTAGACAAATGAAAAGAGAGAAATGAATTACAGAGGTAGATGAAACTTGCTTTGTAGGTATGAATGACCAAACAAGAAAAGAGAATTAGAGGGGTAGACCATAGGGAGGGAGGGAGGAGAATATCAAACCAGAAGAGGAAAAAAAAATTGTGTTCTTCAACAGAGCTTCTGTTTTTGGAGAGAGTGAGGAGAGAGCATGCGCAAGAAGAAAAAAAGAAAGAGAATTACAGCGGTAGATCGTAGGGATGGAGGGAAGAGAATACCAAACCAGAAAAGAAATTGTGTTCTTCAAGAGAGTATTGTTTTTGGAGGGAGGGATATTTTTGGAGGGAGAGAGGAGAGAGCATGCGCATAACAGGGAGTGTTCCAGTGCAATATTTACAGCTAGAATTGCTTTTCAGAGAACCGTTGGATTATATCCAACGGTGTTCTCATATTAAGTCCTCATTTAGAGGTTCTTGCTAGAGCCTTGCCCTTTATTAACTGCAGCAGAATAATTGTTGTAATTTTATCACGATAGAAAGACAAGGCCCCAAGGAAGGCACTAGTGGACACTGATGGTTCTGGGGAACAATTTGGCTTTTAGCCAAAAAACGAAAGAAGCCCTTGCTGCCTGGTGCCTGGTGGGTCTACCCACGTTGAATCCGATCCCCTCCCCATCACTCTAAAATGTCGAGGCCTTTTCGTGTAACATGTTGCAGATTTTATTTTCCATAAAACTCATGGATTACGTTATTAACATAGAAAAAGGAATTCAAATTTAATATTTTCCATTTGGCATCTCCCCTTAGACAGCTTTACACTCCACCCAATATGTCAAATACCAAACATCAAATTTAAATTTGATGGTTGATGTGGCAATTTGACATCTTACACAGCTTTACACTCCACCCGATATGTCAAATTAAATTATTATTTTATTATATTTTAGTGTTGATTTATTTTTAATTAAAAAGAATAGAAAAGAAAAAATAATAAAATATTCATTTGACAACTTGCTTTTGGGATGTCAAAAATAATATCTCAATCTTCAGCCTTCATTCTACATCAGCTTTGACACATCGGTTGGAGTGTGTGAGATGTTATTTCTAGCTGTTAAATGTCTATGTGGCACTTTTGACATATCGGTTGAAGATGCTCTTAGAGCATCTCCAAGGGAGATGTCAAATACCAAACATCAAATTTAAATTTGATGGCTGATGTGGCAATTTGATATCTTACACAGCTTTACACTCCACCTCATATGTCAAATTAAATTATTATTTTATTACATTTTAGTGTTGATTTATTTTTAATTAAAAAGAATAGAAAAGAAAAAATAATAAAATATTCATTTGACATCTTGCTTTTGGGATGTCAAAAATAACATCTCAATCTTCAACCTTCATTCCACATCAGCTTTGACACGTCGGTTGAAGTGTGTGAGATGTTATTTCTAGCTGATAAATGTCTATGTGACACTTTTGACATATCGGTTGGAGATGCTCTTAGGGAAAAAACCTCAACTCATGTAATCTTCTATTCAAATATTGCCGCATGTCAAATTTTTTATTTTTTTTAACAATTGGATTCATCAATTCAATTGTATAAAATAAAATTAGAAAAACAAAATTTCTAAAAGAAAATAATGAGAATAATATGTCTAGCAAACCACCACTTCTATTCCTTCTAACCCTCTACCCCAACAATAACCCATTTACAGAGCAACCGCGAAGGGCCGATCAAAGCAACCACCAATCCTCTGATCCATTCATAATTTATATCGATCTAGCTGTGATAATATATTTCCTGCCTTCCACCAAAGAATCTCAATTCAATAAAACTCATTTTAGAATGACATATTATACAAAATTCATATGAAGTCTATTTGGAGAGAAAACCCAAAATTAGCCCCTTGTTATTTTCTAATTGGTTCTTCATGTGTTAGAATTTTATAAGAACCAATTAGAAAATAACAAGTTGCTAGTTTTGGGTTTTTCACTTCAAATAGGCTCTATAAGGACTTTTGTATATTATGTCATGCTAAATGAATTTATTAGTGAAATCCTTAAATTAAAAAAAAATTAAAAATAAAATTAAAACTAAAATCTGTAAACATTTCCAATTTGATATCATCACTCTCTCTAAAAATATTTCCATCTTTGGTGGTAAAAAGTTGTTATTTTTATTTTAAAACTATTTTTCGATTTACGGTATGAGTTCTATTTGATAAATGCAAGAGACTATAAAACACTTGCTTAATTGTTGTGAAGGAAAACGTTCAAAACAAATTGGTTTGATTATACTATTAATTTAAGGTCTAAACTAGTCGAATTCGAATTTGCAGACATGAGATCACAATATTGAATGGGTGGCTTCATGAAATTCTCTTTCAAGATGGGCTGGATAAGGTGGACAAAGCTCAAATTGCATCCCCTTTGGCCTTCACTTGCTGGAATATTTGGAAGTCGCATTGTAAGGCTGTCACGGATGGCTATATTCCATCCCCAATGGTGACTGGGATTGCATCCTCTTTTGCTATCTCTGATTTTTTAGAGGTAAAAGCTCACATTGTGGCAATTAGAAGGTCTTTTGTCTCTCCCGAGCTGAGAATTGGTACTTGTTGCCCCCTTTCTGCCAGAAAATAAAAATAAAAATAAATATTGATGTAGCATGGTATGCTGAATCACAATGAGGCGGCATTGGATTAATTGCTAGAAATCATCTCGGATCTTTTATTGCAGCCAAGGCATGTCCATGTAAGGCAAATTCGGCTTTGGAATTGGAAGCTATGGCTGTTGTAGAGGCGTGTTCCTTTGCTATTGAGCATCAATTTCGCCAGGTTCAGTTCATGATGGATTGTAGAGAGGTTATTCGTGGAGTACAAGGACATATTTCGAGAGGTCGGTGGGAGTTATATCCTTTCCTCTGCAAGATTAAGGAGCAACGCTAGACTTGGTGTCCAAGAACAGCTAATGTGGTGGACGATCATAATGCGACTCTAGCAAGTGCGAGGATGAGCGTCGTAACATGTGTTATCAAATTGGGATAGGATCTCTCTGTCCCCAATTTCCATGTCCCCTTAGAGCATTTCCACCCATTTACCATGGCAAAAGACAAGGGGAGGTAAGGGTTGGTACTATCCACATGAATAGTGCCTACCATAGCAATTTTTTTGTTAGTTTTCCACTCATTGCCATGGCGACGTAAGGGCAACCACTATTCACATGAGATATGAGGAAGAGGAATTTGTATAGAGTTTTGGTGTGGGAAGTGAGGAACATAACAAGCTATTTATATATATATAATAATAAAAAACTGAAAATTTTGGTATTTTCTCAGAATTTAAAAAGTTTTTTATAAAAAATTTTCGTTGCTGACGTCATCACTATAAGAACCAATTAGAAAATAACAAGTTGCTAGTTTTGGGTTTTTCACTTCAAATAGGCTCTATAAGGACTTTTGTATATTATGTCATGCTAAATGAATTTATTAGTGAAATCCTTAAATTAAAAAAAAATTAAAAATAAAATTAAAACTAAAATCTGTAAACATTTCCAATTTGATATCATCACTCTCTCTAAAAATATTTCCATCTTTGGTGGTAAAAAGTTGTTATTTTTATTTTAAAACTATTTTTCGATTTACGGTATGAGTTCTATTTGATAAATGCAAGAGACTATAAAACACTTGCTTAATTGTTGTGAAGGAAAACGTTCAAAACAAATTGGTTTGATTATACTATTAATTTAAGGTCTAAACTAGTCGAATTCGAATTTGCAGACATGAGATCACAATATTGAATGGGTGGCTTCATGAAATTCTCTTTCAAGATGGGCTGGATAAGGTGGACAAAGCTCAAATTGCATCCCCTTTGGCCTTCACTTGCTGGAATATTTGGAAGTCGCATTGTAAGGCTGTCACGGATGGCTATATTCCATCCCCAATGGTGACTGGGATTGCATCCTCTTTTGCTATCTCTGATTTTTTAGAGGTAAAAGCTCACATTGTGGCAATTAGAAGGTCTTTTGTCTCTCCCGAGCTGAGAATTGGTACTTGTTGCCCCCTTTCTGCCAGAAAATAAAAATAAAAATAAATATTGATGTAGCATGGTATGCTGAATCACAATGAGGCGGCATTGGATTAATTGCTAGAAATCATCTCGGATCTTTTATTGCAGCCAAGGCATGTCCATGTAAGGCAAATTCGGCTTTGGAATTGGAAGCTATGGCTGTTGTAGAGGCGTGTTCCTTTGCTATTGAGCATCAATTTCGCCAGGTTCAGTTCATGATGGATTGTAGAGAGGTTATTCGTGGAGTACAAGGACATATTTCGAGAGGTCGGTGGGAGTTATATCCTTTCCTCTGCAAGATTAAGGAGCAACGCTAGACTTGGTGTCCAAGAACAGCTAATGTGGTGGACGATCATAATGCGACTCTAGCAAGTGCGAGGATGAGCGTCGTAACATGTGTTATCAAATTGGGATAGGATCTCTCTGTCCCCAATTTCCATGTCCCCTTAGAGCATTTCCACCCATTTACCATGGCAAAAGACAAGGGGAGGTAAGGGTTGGTACTATCCACATGAATAGTGCCTACCATAGCAATTTTTTTGTTAGTTTTCCACTCATTGCCATGGCGACGTAAGGGCAACCACTATTCACATGAGATATGAGGAAGAGGAATTTGTATAGAGTTTTGGTGTGGGAAGTGAGGAACATAACAAGCTATTTATATATATATAATAATAAAAAACTGAAAATTTTGGTATTTTCTCAGAATTTAAAAAGTTTTTTATAAAAAATTTTCGTTGCTGACGTCATCACTGACGTCACAGCCCTCGCACCTTGGACTGTTCTTTGTCGTTTTCTAGTGCACCCGTGTCACGGTAGCGTCAACTTCCTTTCTATCCTTTCAGTTATCAGCTACAGACACTCCTCATGAAACAACCAAACATAAACCAGAGAATTGATGACGGAGATGGAGGGCATAGAGCACAGAACAGTCCAAGTCAATGGCATAAACATGCACATAGCCGAGAAAGGCCAGGGCCCACTCATCCTCTTCCTCCACGGCTTCCCCGAGCTCTGGTACTCCTGGCGCCACCAGATCACAGCCCTCGCCTCCCTCGGCTACAGAGCCGTCGCGCCGGACCTCCGCGGCTTCGGCGACACCGACGCCCCCGATTCGCCCACGAGCTACACCTGTCTCCACGTGGTCGGAGACCTCATCGCCCTCCTGGACGCCATAGCCCCCGACCAGGACAAGGTGTTCGTGGTGGGCCACGACTGGGGCGCTTACTTAGCTTGGTTACTCTGCCTGTTCCGGCCCGACCGGGTCAAAGCCTTGGTCAACCTGAGCGTGGCTTTCATGCCTAGAAACCCTCAGAGGAAGTTCATTGAATCTATGAAAGCTGTTTATGGGGATGACTATTACATGTGCAGATTTCAGGTTCAATCTCATATGTCCCCTGTTTTTTTGTTTTTATTTTTATTAAATTTTCTGACTTGTTTGTTTGGCAATTTTACTTCATATAGTTTTTTAGCTGATGCGAATTTTTCTTTTGGGGGTTTGAATTTCATGGAAATGTTCTCATGTTAGATTGCTGTGAGGGGTTACGGTAGATATACTCAGTATGAACATTTCGAAATACACCACTTGTTGGGTCATCATGACCCATTGAGTGATTCCCAACGAGTGGTATTTCGAGGATTTTGTACTGGTGAGTATGCGAATGTACCATAGAAAAATTGTGTTGCTAGATTGTGAATAAGGCACATTGCATAAATTTCAGTTCTAGCTTGTGATAGATAAACTACTCATGTTACAGGAGCCAGGAGTTATGGAAGCTGAGTTTGCCAAGCTTGGTACTGCAAGAGTTATGAAGGAATTTCTAACATATCGCAATCCTGGTCCACTTTTCCTGCCTAAAGATAAAATGTTTGGACATCCCCAAGATGCTCCAATCGTCTTGCCGAGTTGGTTGTCTGAGGATGACGTCAACTACTATGCTAGCAAATTTGAGAAGACAGGATTCACTGGGGCCTTAAACTACTACAGAAACTTGGACCTGTATGTGATTTCCTTTAAACTTAATTTACTTGAATTTCATATGCACAAACTAATTTTAGCAAGAAAGAGCTTTTCTTGTTTGTCCAATATATATTCTGAAGGTTTGCTTTGAATGCAGAACTTGGGAGCTCACTGCAGCATGGACCGAGGTTCAAGTGAAAGTTCCAGTTAAGTTCATTGTGGGAGACCAGGACCTAGTTTATAATTCTCTTGACGCCAAGGACTTCATACACAAAGGTGGGTTCAAGAAATATGTGCCGCTTCTCGAAGAGGTAGTTGTAATGGAAGGAGTCGCCCATTTTATCAACCAAGAAAAGCCTGATGAAATCAGCAAACACATTCATGACTTCATCGTTAAATTTCACTAATTAGCTGTCTATATATATTTGTTGTATGCTGCTGCTGTTTCAAACTCTCTTTTATGCATTTCTTGTGTGACTTTGAAGTGTTCTGTATTCTGAGAAGGGAATTCTTCAACAGAGGTTTTCTGGTTTCAATATTTTCATTGATGACTTTGCATTACTTACAGAAGAATATATACTAGGAGAAGTACGTAGATAGCAGCTTCTCCTGGTCTTGAGCTCCTAATCCTAGAGATTACAGCAGCAGCCTCACAGCCTCATTAATGCTATTAACAGCCACCTAGAACAGGCAACCTCATTAATGCTACTAACAGCTAACAACTTCCTCAATTTTACCCTCTTCAATTCCATTTCGGATTTCTACCGGTATTTCATTTTCAACATCTTTGGTGGATTTGTGTGTAATTTTGAACTAAATTATTTTCATTTGCTTTTATTTGGCATATTTGAAAACTTCCTAAATCGAATTATAACGTCTATATTTGATTTAAAAGTAATGATTTTTCTTTTCTTTTCCTTTGAGGTGACACAAAAGGAACGGTTTCCATGCTTTTACGAAAATAAAGCTTGTTGAATAATTTGAAATTCTCTCTTGGCGCGGGCAAAACACAATAGTCAAACCAAAACCATTAGAACAGGTTGGTTTGGTTTTCATACTAAAAAAGTGTAATTTTGAATCGGATTAATGTAGTTTAGTTTTATTTTCTTATTAGTTATTAATGGAAGTGGAAGATTCGAATTTTGGACCTCATAGAATAAAGTATCTCTAAACTAAGAGCTAGTTGATATAACCACACGTTTATATCAATCATTTGGCACAAAAAAATTAAAATCCCTAAACACTTCGAATTTGATGTCATCCCCTTCTCTCAAAATTTCTCAATCTTCAGTGATAACAAGTTTTTTTAAAATTATAGTTCGTTTTACGATATGAAGTTACATTTTGGTAAAGTGTAAGACACTGTAAAATACTTGCGTAATTGTTAAGAAGGAAAATGATCAGAACGAGGTCACTTGTGAATTTGTTTGGTTCAATTATATTAATTTGAGGTCTATCCAATTCGAAAAATAAAAAATATCAACATATCATTTTTATTTGTGCACTAGAATAAGTACTTTATGTTAATGATTGATTACATACTTCTAATATGGGCAATTATATTACATTTATTAAATGTATTGATAGTCTCTTAAATACAATTCAACCGCCGAGATTAAAAGTATATAACCAATTCTTAACTTAAATACTTATTGGAAAATTTCCTGAAACTGAAAAACCTATAATTGCCTATCCAAAAATATTTTTAGGAAAAAAGAATTTCTGTTTTTTCTTTGTTGGATTATAGTGGACACGTGCTTAACGATAGCCTCATCTACGTCGTTCACCTTTCTTTCTAGCAAGTTGTCACCTTCAAATTCCTCGCTTTCTTTCTCGGCAAACAAACACTCCTTTTGTGCCACTCTATAATTCTCTATCAATACATAAATACGACAAAATACAACCAAACACTGAGCAATCACTGATAAGTTCCACGACACAATACATTCAAATACAGAGAAAAACAGAGAGAAACAGAGAATTTCATGATGGAGGTGGACGGCATAGAGCACAGAACAGTCCAAGTCAATGGCATAAACATGCACATAGCCCAGAAAGGCCAGGGCCCACTCATCCTCTTCATCCACGGCTTCCCTGAGCTCTGGTACTCCTGGCGCCACCAGATCACAGCCCTGGCCTCCCTCGGCTATAGAGCCGTGGCGCCGGATCTCCGCGGCTTCGGCGACACGGACGCGCCCGATTCGCCCACGAGCTACACGTGTCTACACGTGGTCGGAGACCTCATCGCCCTCCTGGACGCCATAGCCCCCGACCAGGACAAGGTGTTCGTGGTGGGCCACGACTGGGGTGCGCTCATTGCTTGGTACATCTGCTTGTTCCGGCCGGATCGGGTGAAAGCCTTGGTCAACATGAGCGTGGTTTTCCCGCCTAGAAACCCTCAGAGGAAGACACTCGAATCTCTAAAAGCTGTTTATGGGGATGACTATTACATCTGCAGATTTCAGGTTCAATCTCATCCGTCCCCTGTTTTTTTTTTCTTTTCATTTTTTTATTAATATTTTATCTTTTGTTTATTATTATTTAATCTCTAAGTCAAAAGAGTTGCGACATTTTGTATTGCTGGACTCACTATTCCAAGTGATTAGTTTAAAGGGGATAATCTTGATTAGTTGAAAACGACCATGTATCTTAAGTCTTGTTTTAAAGTGGGTAGCAATCATTGTCGTTAATTACAGATTCGGCTTGTGTGAACACCTTTTGATTGCCTCATTCCTGATGTAAGCCACTCCCACCAACTCCTCCTCGCCAAGAAAATGAAGAAAATTTTACTTCATATAGTTTTTCAGTTAATGTAAAATTATCTTTTGAAGCTTGAAATTTCATGGACATGTTCTCATGTTAGATTGTTTTGAGGGGCATGGATATTTCGAAATACACCACTCGTTGAGTGATTCCCAACGAGGGGTATTTCGAGGTGTTTGTATTGTAGGAAAATCTTGTTGCTAATTGAGTGGGACATTTGGCTCATTGAGTATTTCCCAATGAGTGGTATTTCGAGGTTCTTGTACTACGTACATGGATGTACCGTAGTACAATCGTGTTCAAATTAGTGTCTAGTGTGTAAATGTTCACAAACAACATATATATTGCGTAAATTTAAATTCTGGGTTATGAAATGATAGACAAATTACTCATGTTACAGGAGCCAGGAGTGATAGAAGCTGAGTTTGCCAAGCTTGGTACTGCAAGAGTTATGAAGGAATTTCTAACATATCGCAATCCTGGTCCACTTTTCCTGCCTAAAGATAAAATGTTTGGACATCCCCCAGATGCTCCAATCGTCTTGCCGAGTTGGTTGTCGGAGGATGAAGTCAACTACTATGCCAGCAAATTTGAGAAGACAGGATTCACTGGGGGAATAAACTACTACAGAAACTTGGACCTGTATGTAATTTGCTTTAAACTTAGTTTACTTGAATTTCATATGCACAAACTAATTTTAGTTTTTCTTCTTTGATCTCCAATATCTAATGGTAATTTTTGTTTTTTATTATTTCCCATTTCATTGCAGAAATTCGGAACTCACTGCTGCATGGACTGGGGCTCAAGTGAAAGTTCCCGTTAAGTTTATTGTGGGGGACCAGGACCTAACTTATAATTCTGTGGGCACCAAGGACTTCATACACAAAGGTGGGTTCAAGAAATATGTGCCTCTTCTGGAAGAGGTAGTTGTAATGGAAGGAGTTGCCCATTTTATCAACCAAGAAAGGCCTGATGAAATCAACAAACACATTCATGACTTCATCGCAAAATTTCACTAATTGGCTGTCTATATAATGTATGTATTTTGTATGCTGCTGCTGCTGTTTCAAACTTTCTATTATGCATTTCTCGATCGCGTGACTTTTAAGTGCTTTTGTGTAACTTTGAAGTGTTGTGTTTTATGAGATGGTTTTATATATATATCTGATGTTCTTCTAGCCCACAACTCTCAAAAGTTTAAACAATAACTTCTTCATGCACTTCCACTACTCCCCTTCATAAACTCTGTAGAGAAATAGATAGAGTTTAGAGAAGAATAAAAGTAGAAAAGGAGAATAGCCCACGATGGGTATTCTGATTCTATTTGATCTCTTTATATGCTGTACTGTTGACTTTGAATACAAGGAATATGTACAGAAGGAAAGTAACAACGGTAATACATAAAATAGGTAGTTCCAGCCGTCGAGTGGAGAATTAAGCAATCACTCTTGATTTGCTACAGGTTGTCGTGGTTTGTGGGTAATGTCTTGCAAAGTGATTGGCTGATTGGTAGCTTTGCTAATCGTATTCTTCTGATTTATCCTCCTTGGTATAAAAGTAAAGGGCAACACAGAGGTAGTAGCAGATGGTAGCAATAGTTAAGAATGTCAAGGCTCTAAAATACTTATCCAGACGGCTCAAGTTAATTTTGTCTTCTAACCAAGTTCGTCTAAGCGCCAAAATACTAAGAGCAGTAATTAATTTTCCGATACCGATGATGAAATGGTTGGTGTGGGATCCGTAATACCTAGCCATTACTTTGTCATCAGCATCATCCACTCCATGAACGATCAAATCAGTTAATCCACCTCCCACAAGCCCTTCCATCAGTCATAAAATAGGAAGATCAAATCAGTTAATCCAACTTGAGGGGTGTTAAGAATTATCTTTGTAATATATTTGTAATATTTACTTTCTTGATTTAGTCTAGATCAAATCCCACCAAAGGTGGATCACGAATTCCTAGCCTTAGAAATAGGTGTAATTGAATGTTGTATTTGTATATATACTTTGTATTGTTGACAATGAGAGATATCAGAAAATCATTCACCCAATTGTCTATTATTCAAACCCTAGTCAATTCGTCCTTCAATCTTCCCTAGTTTGGTTTCTTAAGACACGGGGCTAGCATTTCTTGTACTAAAAGTTTTTTCTCCTTGATCAGTTTTTTAATTAGCCCCCAAAATTTACCTCCTCCTCCTACTAGTATCTTGTCTAGACGAAGGCTTAAGCTTCCTGAGGCTTGGCAAGGCTCCTTCCCTCTTTCTTCTTGTTTTACGATATCGTTCTCTTGGTTCTGCGCTTCTTCTATGCTAGCCTCTCGTTCAAAAACTAAAGATTCTTTATTATCGGTGAAAGAGTAGGAGGAGAAGCCAAACAAGAATGCTACATAAGAAACACCCATCGCAAATGTTGAAATCATGAAGGTCCGCACCCAAGTTGCTTTTAAACGGAAAAGAGCTGTCACTGCACACAAATACCATGGAAGAGCCCACAAAGTTTTTCTCCTGAAATCCAATCCTTGTTGTTCATCTGTGCATTCTCTTGGGTTCTTGGGTTGGCTTAAAAATTGCTGGTGAAGAAATTCTTTCAAAGAAGCTGAACGTCCAGTTTCGCCTAATGATAATAGTAGCATAGCTCCATAGAATACAAAGGCTGCAGTATCTAGGTCCATGTACTTGTCATAAAGCCAAAATAGAAGCACACCCTGCGAGGCCAATTATGTTAATGTTAGTATATATGAGTGTGAAGGGGTTTAGAGAGATTGCAAAAAGTGTTTAA